GAAATTTCTTGTTCTTTAGGGTGTGAATCACCATAAAGGATTACTGTTGGTTTGAGCTGTCCAATTGTATGAGGACGCTTTTCTTCTTTTTCCTGAGTGTTTTCTATTTATTGAAGTAAAATAATTAATTATTAACTAAAAAAATATTTAATAGAAAAAAATTTTACTTCTCTCTTCACATTGGTGCATTTTAGCACTTTACCTTGCTTGAAAATATCACAATATTGCAGCGTAAAATCATAAATATTTGTGCAAACATTACATCGTAACTTTGCAAGAGTTCCATATAGTTGAACTACTTGAGCTTTATTATTTTTAACTTTTTTAAATTGCCAATCTAACCACTAGTTCTTCAAGATTATCTATATTTTGTGTATATACTCTTTTTAATTTTTTCATATCCGCCAATTTTTTTTAAATTTATGAGTTTCTGTGGGTGTAGCATTTAAAATACATTCTCTTAATGCACCCATAAGATGATTAAATGCATTAATAGATCTATGGTTGTAAGTAGGCGAGCATCAAATAAATCTTTGCCTGTACGAAAGGTACCTGGATATTTGCATTTTACCTTACTATAAAGGCCATCTGAACTTCTAAAATTCTATTGGTAATAGTTATTAAAAAAATTTTTTAAGAATTACCATTTTAGTAGACGTTGACTTTATTTTAATAGTAATACTCTTGAGTTTTACTATTAAAATGGAGTTAATGAAACACTCTATTAAGAAATGCATTACTTATAGGTATTCCACCACTACAAGAAATACCAGCCCAGTAATTATAATACACTGTTTTGCACGTGTTATGTACTCATTAATTTTATGGAGCAGAGTACAATTTTTTTCTGTTTGAAGTTTTAATTTTACTGTGTTTTGTAATCTGGGTTTCTTTTTAGTTATTCTTTTGAGACACTACTTTATATATATTTTGAATATATTATTCTTGGCACATTAACGACTATTTTTTTTGACTGTAAGATTTAATTTTGCTGTTGCGAAGTCTTTGAATTACATATAATGATGGCAGTATTGTGATTATCTAATATCCCAGCCAAAGATGATAAATATTCGTCTCATCAAATCTGATAGTGCACATGTATGTTTCTATTTAATATTCTTTCAGATGTGTTTATTTAATTCATATTTACTTTTTTTATTTACTTTTTATTAGCAACCTGTTATTTCTTTCTTTTTGGTTTTTCTTTTCTTTTTATTTTTTTTCTTTCCTATTTTAATTTTTAATTCTATCTACTATACAGTATATATTATCTGTATTTTTGAAAAAAAAAAAATTAATTAGGAAAAAATTAATTCTGCGATAAATTCACTAAATAAGAAAAAAGTCGCAAAAATAATATAGTTTATTAAAAACTCAGTTTGTTCTCTGACGGCATCTTGATGCCGTAGGAGAATGAAATGAGTTTGAAATTATTATTAATATAGCTTTTCTTGTGTTAAATAAGAGAGGTATTAGGGTGTGGCGACTTAGTGAAGTGGTTAAGTTGTCGCACCCCCAGCAATATGTCGGCCAGGTAGGGGGTTCGAAACCCACTGGTGATGAATTTCGAATATTCTACTTGTACGACGGCTACTGTCTTTCGATGATCGGTTGGAACGGGATCTCTGTAACTTTAGTAGTACCAACAAGATTGGAAGATCATAGGGCATTCGCGTAATGTATGAGTTATATGAAATATTCCGGATTGTGTTA